TATTTTAGTATTAAATAAAACTTATTAATATGTTGCAGTTTTTTTCCATATCAATATTGCAACCGGTATTTATTAGATGCTTAGGATCCAGTAGAACTTGGATACCACGTTTGAATACGTAGACTCTACGTCGGTACAATACTATTATCAATTCCAGAATTCAAATTACAATCGATAACTTAAAATGCGTTTTTGGCAAATTTAATATTTTGAGATGTGACACTCTTTGAGTGGTTGAACTTAACAAATAACATATGAAACTAGTTCAATCATATTTCGCTGGCAACGTATTTAAAATTAATTTGTGTGCCTTAAGGTATGCAATAACTTTTAGTATATGTAAGCTTTGTTTAACTGCGTTAGCTTTGAAATCGGTTTGTTTCTTGCATACTTTTTTTTCAGCTATAAGCTTTGATTTGACTGTTAAAAACCTATATGATATAGAACATCTATAATATCCCCAGGCGAAAACCCAGCTCAATTTTTTTTATTATAAAGAGCTTAGAAACATTTTCCATTCAAATGTGCTGTAATTTGGACTTCGTTTTTCGCGCTGTGTGGTATTTAATTCTGTCTACCCTTAATTGAGGGTAGAATGATTTTAGAATAGTCAAAGATAATTACTCTTTTACACCCGTAGGGTGGAAACTATTTTTTTGTCACTTAAATTGTATGTTAGAGACCCCATAAAGTCCATATTTTTAATATTAGCATAATTCAATGATGATCAAACAAATGTTTGGTCACGTGCTACTTTCATATATTCGTAATTTTTTCATATCTCTGCCGTAATTTCGACTGAATGAGTCTCAGTTTCACATTTTGGAGTTTATTTCATATGCACGTACATACCAAATCTACATTTCCCTCCAATATTTTTTGGGTGTTACAAATTTAATAGAATACAAAATTTTAGGTACTGGCCACACATTGAGCTGATAATGTCTAGGATGCCCCACAATTTTTAGCCAAATCAATTGATTAATGTGTCAAGACCAAAATGGGCCCTACCAAAATTAAGAAGGTAAAGTCATTTCACATAAGCGTACCCATCTCTGCATTTTCTGTAATTTACCTTGTCAAATTTCTCTTCACATATGTTTGCATGACTTTACCTTCTTCATTCTACCATTGACCTTACTCTAAATTTTAAATTGAAAATTAAAATTGCGAAAAAAATTTTCTACCCCCTTAGAAAAAGGATGACAAATAAGGGACAAAAAATAAATAAAGTGGCCAAGAAAATAGCTTAAATCATATGATGGTTATACCAAAACCTAAAGATATTTTGCGATGGTTTCTTCTCAAACTACCAAAATTTGCCGAAATTAGTATGAAGAATATATACTTGAAATTAATTTAGCATTTTGAGTTCTCATTGGATAGATTATTGTCATGTGAAAGAAGTAGGTCCCTGTTTTCAAATGAGTCCCTTAACGCTTTGTCGGTAAATTTTGTTTGTTAAAATATGTTCGCATCTTCCAGCTGAATCACGATGTAGGTCCTGGAATTGAAAGCTGAATGCCACTTTTAGACATGAGCGATCGCCATTCATATTTTTATTGGCAAATTTTCACGGGATTTATTATTATTATTATTATTATTATTATTATTATTATTATTATTATTATTATTATTATTATTATTATTATTATTATTATTATTATTATTATTATTATTATTATTATTATTATTATTATTATTATTATTATTATTATTATTATTATTATTATTATTATTATTATTATTATTTCTTTTTGTTTTTGGAAATTGTATGAATTGTAAAAGTCCGTCAAGTCATTTTTGCGTTTTAAGCGTAGTAATTAACATTACTTTTTATGTGGTGGTAATTAACATTACTTTTCTGAATACCTGAATACCTAAAATCTATAAATAGCACTTTTATCCGTTGTCGCTTTATACTACCGTAAAAACACTACACATCATATTAATTTTCAAAAACAAAACAAAAAAATTGAAAAGAAAAAACACTACAAATGTACATTTGAAAATAGTAAGTCAAAATGAAAAAAAAATCATGCAATATAAAACATTACTATTGTATATTTTAAAAGTCAACATGAAAATATTCAAATTTCACATTTTTCCGCGATTTGTTTGGATTTTATCCTTTTCTGCCAAGAGACAATTCCGAATTTGTGTGAATCGTTAAAATCGGACCGGCGGTTCTTTACTTATAAGCGTAGTAACTAACACAACTTTCTTTTATATATATAGATGTATACATAGATTAAAAAGTAGGCGTGGTCAGTTCCTCAGCCCCCAAATAAATACTTAGGGTTGGAGGGAAAGTCAACAGTATTTCGTGTAATAATTTTTAAACCGATATCTTCATTATTTGGGAAATATAAGAATTTTAGACAGATCGAATTAATGGGTGGTGTGGTCAATATTTTTTTCTTTAAAAACCTAACTCGGGGTATGACGAACGTTTGTACGAAAAATTATGCAAATCAGTCCAGCCGTTTTCAACCGTTTCCATTACAAACGAACAACAATTGATTTATATATATATATAGATATAGAAGATTAACAAAATATCTGATTCAATTTTATTAATAAAGAACACGTTTCTGTTTTTGTAAAATATGTTGTTTTTTTATTAGTTTAAGACGAGCAGTCTCAAGGGAATAAATATTCTACACAACTTGTTATGAGAATTGCATTAGAAATTTAATTTCTAAAGTTTCAAAAAAAACAAACTTCATTTGTATCTCTGATGAACATAAATCATAACCGTGGCATCTACATTTAGTTACTACTTTTTATGATTTTCGCTTTCATTGGAAACACATAATATAATATAGATGGTCCATAGACACAATCTCGTCCAGAACATATTGTGAGCTCGATTTAAATAGTTTTTATAATATTTGTGGTTTATATTAGAAATATATGAAAAATCCAGAACGAACTTGATAAAATTACGTTTTTATATACCCTTCACCATACATAGTATGGAGGGTAAATTAAGTTTAAAAATAAATTTTCGACCCCATAAAGTATATATATTCATGATCAACATAAAATTCTAAGTCGATTTAACAATGTCTGTCTGTTGAAATCACAATACAACCCACATTATTTGGCGTAGAGCTTCAAAATTTGGCAAAACAATTTGTATTGTGTTGGTATTGAAAATGATATATATCAATCAGTCCACGTTTCCGTATCGTCCCCATATAACGTTACCTCCTGATATTTGGTATTTTGATGTTAATCAAAATTTTCACGTATTTGTCTAAAAATTGGTATTTGTAAGTCATAATGGGTTTTAGCTCCGGTGGCGAAACATAGTGTGTATAGGTCCACGTTTATGTATAGACCTCATATAACGGTCTTTTTGCCACATTTTTCCACAGATTTGTCTAAAAATTGATATTTGTAGTTTATAATGGGTTCTAGCTACTGTGGCGGGACATAGTATGTATAAGTTCACGTTTGCGTATATCTCTCACATAATTGAAGCTCCGGATATTCGGTATGGAGATATAGCATCAGTAGGTACCTAAAAAAATATGCACATATCTACTGATCCAAATTTGGTATGTGGAAAGGAATGTGGAACAAAAATAAGTTTGTCAAATTATATTGAAATCGATTCAGATTTTGATATAGCTCCCATATACATTTTCGCCCGATTTCATTTATTTGATGCACTCAACGCGATAACTATGCCCGGTTCCAATAAAATTGCGGAATTTGGTTACAATAATAAATTTGCCCCATGTAACTGTATATTCGGTATAATTGGAGTTAATAATAGTCAACGCCCACGCTGGCAGATAACTGGCTATAGAGGTTTACATTGTCCTATGGCCCATAACTGCGACAACTAATATTCGATTTTTTAAATTTTAACTATCTTTTTCACATTTTGCAGTTTTCTTGGCTGCTTTTATATTTGTTTTGGCTTTAAAATCTCAGCATTCATTTCAAGCTGTTGCAGTGAAAATTTGGAAAAATTATATGTTATAAACTACATTTCTGCATTGTGCCTATGACCAAATCTTCCGATTTTATGTCCCCTTAGAACCGAAATATACATTCCAAAACAATTATTTTCTATACAAGACATCAAAAACGTTCTGGCAATACCTTTGACTACTTTTGTCGAGATCTTTTGGATTTGAAAATATATCTCATACATATATTTTCCTTTCATTTAATAAGAATGATATAACAACGACGCTATGTTTTAAAATCAAGTTATTTCATTAAGTATTCGGAAAGCCCTAACATGCACTCTATAGCTGTGACATTTTGTCACACAATAAAAACGTATATTTGTTACAGGTTGCTGTACTAAATGTCGTGTTGTCATAAAGTCGGCAACGCCCGACTTTTTTCTTTCTTTACTGTTTTCCTTTAATGAACTGCATAGAATCACATTCTGAGTCGATTTGTGCATGTCTGTCGATCTGTCTGTCTATGTATTTTTAATTTCGGTCGCGATGATATGTCCCATCTCCCGAGGGCGAACTCTATTGAAATTGTCGGTCCAAAATTTAGATATAGCTACAATATACCAAATATACCTTCTTCCGATTGCAATTTTATTGTGCTTCATATGTGTAAATAGATGGATTTTCCAATTTGGTGAAAATTAATTCCACACCTCTTATGCATTTTTACCGACTTTAATCTTTAACTTCATATAACGAACAAAGGATATGGCATATCGTCGCCAAAATATATGTTGATATTTGTATGAATTCAGGTATGTCTCGTTCGATTTCGTACCATAGGACATCAGTTTGTTACTGGGCACATCTGTAAAATGTTGCCACTGTTTTTCGGGATCATATAGTCGGCCGCGTCCGACTTTTGTTCTGACCTAACTGCTTTAATTTTTAATTGCAGATATGAACAAAAATTTCCAATTTATCATCGATTTGGGATTTTCAGCAATATATTCCATCTTGACTATGGGTCCTCGAACCAGTCATATACATATATATAAAAAAAACAAAGCTAAATATGTGAGTATACATACACATGTAATGTAGATATATTTAATGCAAGATATGTATATACATTATAGATTTTGAAGTTCTAAAATAATTTTACAGCTTTTAACGAAATCATTTGAGTTGCGAATACGCAAAGAGTATAACCGAAATAAATTCAATTCACTCTCACCCAGCAGTGGTTTCTTTTCGATTTGGATGAAAGCACATAATTTCTATACAACTGAAGTACACAAAAATATTAAAAAAAAAAAAAATAAACAGTCTAACGTATCCGTACATTGCACACAATCACGCACTCAAGTGCCTCATCTACTCTACGGTCACGGATTTGGCCAAGTTGCGCGGGCAATCAACGTCACAGCCACGAAGAACAGCAATGTGGTAGGAGAGCAATTGCATTGGAATTACGGTGAGAATGCCTTGCAGACAGTCCACTGTGCGAGGAATTTCTAAGCTTCGAGAGCAGAAAGCCTTAGTTTCTTCATCACCTTCCTCGCAGATGATTATGGGACAGCCTTTGCGTGATGTGACCTGTTGTAGGGCATTCATACATTTCACATACACGGGATCACGGAGTACAATCATTAGGACAGGCATTGAGTCATCTACCAAAGCCAAAGGTCCATGTTTTAATTCTCCAGCCATGATGCCTTCACTGTGCATATAGGTCAATTCTTTAACTTTCTGCGGGGGAAAATTTCAGTTAGTACTGGTATAAAAATCACATTTTTAAAAAAAGGCTTACCAAGGCACCCTCCATGCAGGTGGCGAAGTTGTAACCACGACCCATAATCAAGAGTGATTTATGCTGATACAGATCCTTGGCCAATTCCTGTACCTTTGAGTCCAATTTCAGAACCTCACGAATCTGATCGGCCAATTTAGATAGACCTTGAATGATTTCCAAACGTCTTTGCTGTAGCGACAAGCGATCTTCCGACATGACCAATCCGAACATAACCAAAGAAATGAATTGTGATGTGTAGGCCTTGGTCGAGGCTACACCGATTTCGGGGCCAGCGTTGATGTGGACACCACAATGAGATTCACGGCAGATGCTGCTGCCCACGGTGTTGGTGATACCAACGATGAGAGCACCACGTTGTTTGCAGTAACGCAGAGCCATCAAAGTGTCAGCAGTTTCGCCAGATTGCGAGATGAAGAAGCACACATCATCGCGGAAAATTGGTGTGTTACGATCAAGGAAATCAGAAGCCAATTCAATCATAACTGGCAATTCTGTAAGTTCTTCCAGCAATTGACGTGTGGCCACGGCACTGTGATACGATGTTCCGCAACCAATCAACATCAGACGACGGCAACGTTTAATTTCGGGAATGTAGTCCTTGATGCCACCCAACACAATGGTATTAGAATCGAAGCGAACACGTCCACGCATGGTATTGACCACAGATTCGGGTTGTTCGAAAATTTCCTTCAACATGAAGTAGTCGTAGTTGCCTTTCATGATCTGTTGGATTTCCATTTTCAGGGTGGTAATTTCACGGGCATGGGGATCATCCGTAGACTTCTTCAGACGATGAATGCTCAAACCACCATCGCGAACGGCAGCAACATCATCATCCTAAATGAAAACAAAATAGAAGGCATTATTATAGTATTAGAATTTAATGGGAATTTTGGATATATGTATGTATTTAAAGCTTGTTCAAATTATCCTGCCAAATGAATTAATTGCTTTTCTAAAAATTATGTCCAAGATATAAAGTCTGGTAAATTTATTTCGAAAACTAAACATAATATGTATATGATGTCAGTTGGTCATATTCGTTTATGCGTAGGTATAGGCCGCGCTTATGGACAAACCCTTATTTTATGGACAAACCCTTTTGAAAAATATTAAATGTTTTGGGATACCCTTTATATTTTGCTACCAAATTTGACAGCATTTCTATTTTCCTTATATTGATGGGTTCCAAAGAAGAGAGACAGGTCCCATATTCCAGTATTATGCCTTCGGATATATATCTCCTTATACGGTTTCATCGAAATTACGGACGATATCCCTTGCAGGATATTTAGAGTCGATCTAGGCATGTTCTTTTGTCCGTACGTCTGTCTGTCTTTCTTACTAGTGGGTACGATAGCTCTCGAAGGTAGTATTTTTGATAAATCGTAGTATTTTTACCAAACATAGATCAAGTTCGGAGATGGGCAATATCGGTCAACTTTTTTGCCTCCTCCCAAAATGGTTCAAATTTTTCCGAAAGATCCAAATAAAAGATCGACCGAAAGATCGTAATATTTAAATAAGTCTTAGGTCATTTGCGAGCATGGACAATATTGATTTAATTTCTCTCATACCTCCCTACAAAATACCAAAATTTTGAAGAATAACTTTCGTAAAATTTGACACCAATCAATCGATTTGCTTCAAACTTGGTGCAGCTTTATATTTTTGTTTATATCAGAGCTATTCAGAAATCTCGAGAAAATCACACGAATTGAGTACCTTACATGGTACAAACTTGATCCCTGGTAATATTTATATCAGGACAGGAGCCATCATTCAATATATTTGTCCATTTCTTCTTTTACCTCACACAAAAAGATCTAAATTTTCAATACCAAAAACTTTAATTCAAATGCGAAATCAATGTGGTCCCATTTCTATGATACGTCCTCCAAACATAATATACAGAAATAAATGAACAAATGCTATGTAATGCAAAAGTTAACCCTCAAAATCATGTGGTATCGCAATGTAGATTTTTTTTTAAATAGGTTCCAAGAATGATATATAATAGACTGAAAACCGAAGGATATGTGTGTAAAATGTCTGCCCTCTATCTGATTACAACACTGCATCAAATTGCATTGTTTGTCAATTGGGAAGACTGTCTTCTGGAACCCAACAGATCATCTGAAATTGAAACCACACTGCCAAATAAAACGCCTATTGATTAACCTTTGCCTACATTTCAGAACGATTGACGTCATGTTTGCTTATTTATACGATCACAATGAATTTCAGAAATTTACCCACTGGTCTGCACTCATCTTTTATAATTACAAACTGAATAAATATCTTAACACATTTCTCATCATTAAATGTAAGCAATAAAAATGCATTCAATGAACCGAATTTACAATTAACGGTGGATCAAGCCCTCTTCGAAAATTAGCATATTTTTGGTAAAATCCTTTGGAGAATGATTACCATTTCTCGAAGTAATAAAATGTCATTAAAATGTCTGCCGTAACGTTCTGCCAACAGTGTTGAAATTTAGGTCAACCTACAGTTGAGCACTTCGAAGAAGTGCCCTAAAGTGAACCAACAAAACCAACTCCTTATAAGTCACGTTATCTGTTTTTATTTTGCAAATCATGCATCGTTGAATGAATACTCAAAATTGTATATTCTTGCACTTACCTCCAAATAAATCACACGATTGGTGTGCTCAATAACAGCAGAAGCATCCGATGCAAAGAAATATTCTACCTCCTTCTGTTCCATGGGCAAGAACTCCGATGTGCTCTCCGAACGTGGCAAAACTGATAAATCACGATTTTGTACATATGGACGATGTTCTTTTTTGATTAGTATTCAACAAAATATTGTTCGTTTATTTTTGATGGCATTGGTGATGTCGATAAAAGCCAATTGGCGGCAGTGGGTATGGCGATGGCGATGTCAATGGCAATGGGCGTTTTCAGTGGTAGTGGTAGGAAAGCAGAAGCAATTTGTTGTTGTGTCAATGCCATTCGAAGGGTTTTTTTTAATGATATTTACAATGTCATCGATGCACATTGCATTCGGTCATTGTTGGTAAAAGTTTTATGTTTCGTAATCATGTTCAGACCACGACAACCGCGCAGACAATCCAAGGCATAGTTTTGTGGGATTTGAGTTAATGGCGGGCATACGATCCATAGTCCAGAAGTAATTGCAAAAATATTTATTCAGTAATTGCAGATTTTAAATGAGTGATGAATGGCGCCAAAGAAATAATCGATAATGAAATCAAAATGGTAAATTAGCATAAAATTCGTCTCTTAATAAAAATGATGCATAACTTTGTAATAGCGCATTAATTAATATTAACAAAAATGCAGATAAAAATATTTGTGTAATAAATGATTCAAATCATAAAACAGTCCACACCAAGTATTTATAATAACAATTTAATTAAATCTTTTTTATGATCAATGAATAGGTAATAGGAAATGTTTGAATGTAATGAATAAATGAGTGAGGGTTTTTACCGATGTAAATATTTAATAAAATACAAATATTTAAACAAAATTTCAAAGACAGCACTCAAATTTTCATAATATGCCGTAGTTATTCTCAATTTAAGAAATATCTGCCTACAATATCTGAAATGTTTTCCAGCCTATTGTCGGGTAATTTGGTGCTTGCCCAAGTCATTGAATATTTTTTATGTACTTCCTATAGGCCATTGAATATTTTTCTATTTCAATTTAATCTATTGTTTGATTTCCAGGTACTCTACTTCCCTGTCTTTACAATTTTGTAACTAACATGTGTTTCAAAATTAATTTGGGGTCTATTTGTTTTACGATTTTAAACTCAATTTCTAGCAATGAAAATAAATTTAATTTGTCAATTGTTTTTTTTTTTAATTTTTTAATCCCAGATGTAATAAAAATGGAAATTGCCACACAATTTTTGATACACAGACACACCAATGCTTAAATGGATATTACAACCCATTATTTGGAATGTTCTCAATAAAAAATTATTTATTTTTTGTAAATCACCCAAAAAGCTATTATACAACAATAATTATATTCATTTAAGCAAAAACATATTATCACTTCGTTTTCTGTTTTGTTTTTGATTCTTTTTTTTTTTTTTTTGTTTGTTTGTTTTATATTTCCTACTATTCTATACTCGAGAATATTTCATTTAATTAAGATATTGTTTGACAATATCCGTACAATATCAAATTTTGTTTTTTATTCAAATTATTTATTTAATTGGTTTTATTTGCCAGCAAGCGACATTTGTTAGATCAAATCAAACCATCAATCCAACAATACCAACTGCGTTACAGAGATCTGTAGTTGTCACACAAAATTGACTAAGTCGATATGTGAAAATGCAATCATCTATTAGAAGGTCATCTACTATTTATTTAAATATTTTAGGAATGAACGTTCCAACTAAAAACAAAAACAAGAAATTTTGTTTCTGCGGTAAAAATTTCAACAAATTTTTTCCAAATTGTCAATCGGTCTAAGTGTAAAGAGATGATGAAAAAGGATATTGTAAACTTTCTTTCGTAAACATTTGCTTTATTATTTTGTATTCTTTGTGATTTTTTGAGTATGAACAAGAATTAGTATTGTATTGTGAACAGTTTAGTTCATACCTATACAAACATGTACAATTTCAATTTCAGTCGTATAAAAAAATATTGTAAGATTTTCAATAAAGCGCAAATCGAATACCTTGCAAATTCAATTATTATCTTGACCTAAAAACACCTACAAAATCGGGTAATATTTTATTTGAGTTTATTGGCATTGCACCATAACTGACGTTTGATTATGATTTTTAATGGACGGACCCATAACAGCTCGACTTACTTTATGGAGGGACAGAATATGGCGTACTAAAAGATAAATATTTCCGGAAGTTACAAAACCTTTGGAATTATTATTAAATCAAGCCAGTTGCCGAAACTTTTGAATTTTGGACTTACACTCTCTCTCTCTATGTGCATGCCATAGATCTGTTTTGTTGTATAGATGTTGATTTCGATTTTCAATTCAGGAAAAAAGAAAACACTACAACAATAAGTGGTGTGGACCGAACTATTTGTTTTTGGCACGTGCACATAAATGCACAGTGAAACCTTGCATCAATCTCCACCTGTACGGGTTTACTCGCAACAGATATAAGCGATTTGTTCGTTTAAAACATAACACATATAAAAATACCCACATATAAACTACATGGCATTGTGAGATGTTTCACTATACACACAAACATACAACGAAACAAATAAATCTAATTTCAGTTAGTTTTATTGATAACCATTTTTTAATATTAAATTCCTTGTTTATATGCTAAATTGAGTGGAATTAGTTTGAATAACCACAAAAAGTTGTTTCCAAATGAAAAACGTTTAAATGTCGATTTCATTTCACGCCTTCTGATGCTCATTGCACTGGTGGTGTTGTAATCAAGTGAACTGTAACTATTCACATCTCTGGTGTTTTGCATATTCGTTGCAATCAGACATACAGCTACATACGAATATCCATGGCTATATACCTACGCATAAGTATGTACGTACATATGTTGTGGTTGAGTTTTTAAATAAAAAAATATTTTAAATATCCCTTTGTTGATCATTTTGCTGTCTTGTATCGCAGCAGGCACACATGCATACATACACCATACGTACATATATACAGACAGACATTCAATGTTCCTTGGCCTGACATCTTTTTCGTGTTCACCATGAAATCTTTTTTGGAGATGCATTTAAATCTGACGTATTTTTGTGAAAATTCCACAAATATTTGCTTGTCGAAATACACAGAAAAACCATGACATATGTATGTAAGTATGCATGTCGAAAGGCCATAAGAAAGAAATTGTTGATAAAGCAAAAATTCTTTGGTTGTAAATATCCCAAATGTAATTGGACAATGAAAAATGCTTAATTATTTGGAATTTCCCAACAACGCTGCCGTTACTTGAACATTCATGTTTTCGTACATTCTGTGTTATGGTATGTTTGAAAAGAAATAATTCATTCGAAAAAAATCCCACATTCCTCCTTTTTCATTGAAACAAGCTATTAAAAAAAATATATATAACACCACTCGATATCATTAAGGTGTATCGCTCGCATCTGCATATGAACGGATTCCATGTTATTATTTAAATAGTATATTGAAAAAAAAAATGTTCATGAAAATTCTTATTATTAACAAAGTAGTTCACAGCAAATATCACCCAATGGTGGGATGATGGATAATTTAAACCGCAGAGTTAATAAAAAACTATCCATAGCTGTAAATCGATATTTAAATACATAAAGTATCAAAGTATGGCAGAGTAGTTATAGGACATCCTTTAGTACTTTAAGCGTAAAAGACCCCAAGATTTTTGAAATCGGTTGGTATGCATACACATATGAGAGGTATGTCTGTAAAAGTTTAATTAGAGTGTGAAAGCGGCTGTTATTCGAAATTGCTCAATTTTCAAGAGAAATTAATGCATTTTGTTTTTGTAATATTTTTAGAAATCATAAGATATTTGGTATTTAAAATGGGATAGACCGTTCCCTCATATAACGGTACCTACTGATTTTGGAGAATTTAAAGGTTTTTGAGAACAATTTTCAATCAAATCAGCATGACTACGATATTTTGCGATCTCAATTCGATTTTTTCGAAAAAATATTAAAGGTCCACTTTTTGGTATAAACACAACTAAAGGTACCTCCAGATTTTCAGTATTTTGATAGTTTCGACCCCAAATTCCAACCAAACCAATATTAACTTGATATTTCAGAATGCAGCGGGTAGATTAACTTTCTCCATATAATGGAATTTTCATACTTTTGGAATTTTATCATGGCCGATTCGGCAAGAAAATTAAGTTGTAATATTATGAAGAGCACAAATAGTTCGATCCAGCCAAACGTCCTTTTTATCCTGAATTAGTATAACATACAAACTGCAACTAATTCGGGTAGAAAATGAAAGTGGCCTGCATACATTATGCCACATTAAATCTGACTGACCGTTAGAACTGACTGAAGTTGCCGATGGTAGAATAGTTTGGGTCACATTAATTAAAAAAAGATAAAAATGCTTCTCTGATTTTCGATATTTAGTAATATAACTTAATTCGTCATCCCGGCAATTATATTACGATATGTCTTTCTTTGGTATTTGGACTTGAACTCAAATACCAGCCAATTTAAAAATTTTAAAAATTTGTGCTATTATCTGCTTCAAATATACAATTATTTATTTACGCATAAATTGCTAATTAATGAGAATTCCTTACATCCTACTTTGATTGCTGTCATTGCCAAAAGTAATAAATTTGCAATTAGCAAATTATTTTCGTTAAATAATTTTTGATTAAAGTTATTGTAAAATAAGTATATGTATATAGAATTAAACATATGTTAAAGCGAGTATATACATACATATGTGAATATATATGTATGGAACTGCAAATTATAAATACATTTGTATTTGTATGTGTTTGCTGGTATTTACAGGTGTGACTGTGTGTGGGTGTTTTCCGATAATATTTACTCAAGTACACCGATAATATAAACACATTTAGGGTGTTTACGATTTTGAACGATAAATATGCAAATTTCCCAATAAATATAATAACATGCATTTTAGTTTTCCGGGAAATTAATGAGTTCAAAATAGCAAATAATAGGCTTATTTATTGAAATAAATTAAAGAAATATAATATTACCTAGAATCTATTAATTTTGGAATTTGTTTTGACAAACACATGCCAATTTACACATTACAGAAGATAAACTATTATTTTCCTGAAAAAAAAATCTAACAATCACAATATTGGATTTAATACTTTTGTAAAAATGGAGAAAGAACATGAGCACAATAATTGGTCAAGTGGGAAAAATAAGAACCTTATATTTTCTACCTAAAAATATTGGCTGAAGTATCATATTAAGGATTTTAATAGATATTCTAGGTTCAAGTACCTGAACAGTATGGAAACAATAAAATTGGAACGGATTAATGTACAGATTAATTAAAAAATTTCTTTCGGTGTTTAAGGCTTAGCATCTTTTAATATCCCTACTCCATTAAAACAAATGGTGAAAGCGGGCTATGCCTGCTCAAGTAATACAATTTTATATTAATTATTATTAGAATTCTTTGAAAATTTTAAATAAAAAATTATTCATATGTTGTGTTGCTTTTATCAATGAGAAAGTACATTTGCCAATATTCATGGTTTGGCAAATCATAACTATAAAGCAAATCTAGTTAAATTCGTGTAAAAAACTCCTAACTTTTTACGTTACGATGCGAACATGTGGAATCTGTGTTAATTTGTTCTTTTAAATAACAATTTTTTTACTCTACGTTAAAATGTGAAACGTATTTTCCAAATGTTTAATTTAATTACCGCCAGTTTTTGTTGCTTCTGTGTATGTATAATTGATATACAAATGAAAATTGGGAAACAAAAACAACAATCTTACATCATCAACCCATTGTTATCCATGTGTTTTAAAAAATAATAAATAAATGGCGTACAAAGTCAGACCAAATTAAATCTTCATCAACTTTTATATTTTACATGTATCGAAATGCTCACACACAGATTACTATATAGAATATACATTTATGCATGTACATCTATGTAAACACACTCATACATGCATGTTTGTATGTATGAATGAAAGCACTCCGTTGGCTTTTAAAGGAACTATAGATTGATGTTTATTTAACGAGTTTGGGGTAGTAATTGGCTGGATTGCTATAATTAGTGTGAAATTGTATTTACATAGAATTACTGCAGATTACCCGAATCAACTATTTATGGCGCTGAACAGCAGCACACACAAAAGCTCATGCATGCCAAAGACATATTGAGTAAATTTAAAATTCCTTTTTTTAGGACTATATGATATATACCCTTTTATAAATATTTGCTTATTAGGCATGCAAATCCTGAGAAAATAAATTAAAAATTTTGCAAATCAGTGTATTTGTTAAATGACAATAAAACACAGACGTAAATACACAAACACACACATTTCGTTCATTTAAACAAATGATAATATTTGCTTAAATCCCCTTATCATAAATACACATACATACATACACATGTTTGGCTTGAATGTACACACACCCACCCACACACACAAGTGTGCTTCTCGTCCTGTAAGAGACTGAATTTTTATCCTTATGTAAATAAGACTGTAAGCTTTTTATTTATGAATGGATTGAATGAAATATAAATTATAAACAATGGATTTTTAAGTGAGATATAATGATACAGCAATAGTAGGTTATGGAATATCTTGTGAGAGGGAGGAAGGAAGGGTGGTAGATCTGAAATGACCGAAGAAAGATGCTGAGAAGTTGTCAAGTTTATTTACTGACCACAACCGATATTGATTATGGATTTAAGCCTACATTCATTCCCCCTATTCTGCTCATGCTAAGTCGAAGGGACGAAAGGGGGAAATTTATGCTTACAACATTTGTTTGTTTACCTTGAGGTTTGCCAGTTCCGGGTTCTTTAGATGAGTTAATTGTACGATTTGTTCATTTGATTTTGTTTTGTTATACGATTTGGGATATTTTTCATTTTTTTGTTTTGTTTTTGGTTTTGTGGTTTTGTAATTTATATTTTATGTGGGCACGTACACATTTAGACACACATAGTTGGCCAAAGGACGAGAAGAGAATAACAAAAGTAAATATTTAGAAAATTCATTCACAGCTACAGCAAATGGTTTCGTAGAAAACTCATAAATAAACTATTTACAGGAAGCCAGTCAGTGGAAAAATATATGTATGTATGGAAACCATAAAGTCCAACAATAACCATATAAATTTAGTACTTAATAACAACAATAAAAATAATAACAATATTTTTGCATACTCATACAACACGCACACATACAGGGATATTATAGTACACCCAATCTGTCTCATGTGACCATGTTAATGGGTATGGGTGTGCATCCCTGGATGGGCGCTTGTTTCGACACACAAATGTTAAATCATGACAATGTTAATGCATTAGTAGACACCTTCACCATTACCCCCTCGTGGTTAGTCGTTCATATTTCATTTCCGGCTAAAAAAGCATTCTCATCCGCCTCTTAAAGGCTTCATTGACAGCGTGCCCATTGACCATTTAGTTAAGAAAAAGTATAATAATATGGCAACTACCTTGTTCAGTTTGCTGTTTTTTATCGTCTATGAACATCGTCGAAAAAGAGTAGTAGATAGCGAGCAGTAGTAGTGGTAGTTGTACAGGGTAGGGGTAGTAGAGGTTGACATTAAGATAGTGGTAGTAGTTGTAGTAGTGGTGGTAAGAGTGTTGATGATAATACACGATTCGTCCGTTTGTCGGCGTCGTAGATCCGATGGTGAAAAGTTAGTTGTGGGTGTTTTTGTGCACGGGGTTAAGCCACGCAGGACCCCAGAACCCACGTAGACGGACACACGCACACACACATACGCAAATTGAATGGCGAACAGCGAAAGTGAGTGTGAACAACACAATCAATTCCGGGTCGTTTTAACACAGATGATTTGGTGCGTATGCAAGTAGTAAACACATAAAATGAAAACCGTAAAAGACACGGATACACACACGCTACATAGTTAATTATAAGTAGTTTTAAGCACCATAACCATAATTCCAAAATACACTTTTTTCTTTTTTTTTTTTGTTTATTAGCCCCTTTTTTTTAATAATTATTTTTCTGGGGGAATATAAGCTAAATACAACATATATTACATACAATGAAATTTAATTTCTGGTGTTAGAGATATGATGCATACATCATGCACATATATATGTATTAATGAGTTAAACTTAGATAAATATTAGTATGCTAAGTAGTTTTAAGTAGTCCTTAAGAGCTTTTGTTAGACATAAGTCATATATATATTGTATTAATGAATTGAATTAATAAACTTGAACTTGAACTTGAACTTGAACTTGATACACACACGCCCCCATACATACACACATCATTCAAGAACATAAACATACAACCAACCATAGAAGATAGTAAAGGAATAGAAAGGAAAAAAAGAAGAAAATAAACAATTGACTTATTAATAAACATGTATAGAAGAGGACAAGACACAGAGTTAGAATACAATTGTCATCCATTCAAAAAGTAGTCGAAGGAAGTTATAAGGACGAACCACAAATGATTGCTTATAAACAAAAACTATGTTGTCAGTATCATTCAACAGTTTATCAATATGTATATATGTATGTAACTTACCTTTGCCATATAGAATGGGAATGTGATCGGTGGCCAAACGAGTTTTGGTCTTAATGCCCACCAAAAGTGGGGAGCCACGTCTTGAGGCTACACACTCGCCGGGGAAGTATTTGGATTTTAAGGCAATAGCAAAAGCACCTTCCTGCAATTGGAAATAAATAAATAGAAATCTCGTTTAATATTGAAAATCATTTTAGATGGTATTTGTCGGTTTTGCAAGCATCTATATGAAGTATTAACTATTGAGTACATTTCGAAATTAAATTAGTAAAAATTTACACGCAGAAAGTGTGTCGTAAATAGAAAAGTGATATTTACCTACACACTTCCTTGCAAAGGTCTTACTTCTCCCAGAAAACTTTCTTTTCATTAAGGACTGACCAAATATTTAGATCATATAACGATCAATGTGTGAAAGGACATTCACAAGAAGGGTTGAAATAATTCCCATTTTCAAAAATGGCTTAACTTAATTAGAAGTTCATATAAATAATTACATTTGGGAAATGGACCAAAAAGCATAGAAAAATTACGATATGATTCCTCCCGCATAATCTATATCTATAAAAGAGGAAAATGTTTGTATGTTTGTTTGTTTGTAATTTATGGACTCGAAAACCGCTGAATAGATTTTCCTGAAAATGTCCATATATACTGCAACATCGCCTGAAAGTAACATAGGCTATATACATTTTTGAATTTTCACTTGGAACTGGAGATATAGCATCAGAATCGGAGGTACCTCCCAAAAATTTAGATTTTATATGCACATATCTATTGATTGGTTGAAGATACAGTCTCCAAATTTGGAATACGTAACGGAATTTGGAACAAAAATAAGTTTGCAAAATTATATTGTAATCGGTTCAGATTTGGATATAGCTCCCATATATAATTTCGACCGATTTCGTTCATTTGATGCCTCAAATACAATATGAATGTTCGATTCCAATGAAAATTGGAATGTGTGACGGGATTTAATCCGAAAATAAATTTGTCAAATTATATTGAAATCGGTTCAGATTTGGATATAGCTCCCATATATATTTTCGGCCGATTTCAAGCATTTGATGCACCAAACACGCTATGTATCCCCAATTTCAATGAAATTTTAAACTTGTGATAGATTTTATCTAAAAAATTGATTTCCCAAATTATATTGAAATCGGTTCAGTTTTGGATATAGCTCCCATATACATTTTCGGCCGATTTCATGTATTTGGTGGACCAAACACGACATGTATTTCCAATTGTAATGAAATTTAAAATAAGTAACGGAATTGGGAGCCAAAATGAATTTGTCAAATTAAATTGAAATCAGTTTAGATTTGGATATAGCTCCCATATATATTTTCGACCGATTTCATGTATTTGATGCACCAAACACGCTATGTATCTCTAATTTCAATGAAATTTGGAATGTGTAGCGGAAATTAAAACAAATATACATTTGTCAAATTATATTAAAATCGGTTCAGATTTGGATATAGCTCTCATATATATTTTCGACCGATTTCATGTATTTTATGCACCATACACGATATGTATGTTCGATTCCAAAGAAATTTGGAATATGTAACGGGATTTTGATTAGAAAATAAATTAGTCAAATTATATTAAAATCGGTTCAGATTTGGATATAGCACCCATATATATTTTCCGCCGATTTCACATATTTGATGTACAAAACACGATACGTATTTCCGATTCCAACGAAATTCGGCATAAGTGGCTAAATTTGGTACAAAAATAAATTTGACAAATTATATTCAAATACGCTCAGATGTGATTATAGCTCCCATATATATACTCAGCCAATTTCACATATTTGATGCACCCAAAGCGAGAGAGACAAAATCTGGCACCAGCAAAAATTGCCAAATTATATTGAAATCAGTTGAGGTTTGGATATAGCTAACATATATATTTCGGCCGATTTCATACATATTATGCACCAAACACGATATATATGACCGATTCCAATGAAATGTGTGGCGGAATTTGGTTATAATAATAAATGTGATAAATTATTGGATAATAAATTGGAAATTAGTTAAGATTTGGATATAGCTCCCATATATATATTCTCGGCCGATTTCACATAGTTGACGCACCAATTTCAATTAAATATGAAAGGTGTGGCGGAGTTTGGTGTAAAAGTATTTTTTTTTAAATTATATTTAAATCGGATCAGATTGGGATATGATTTTAATAAGAACCATTGACCCACAACGCCTTAGGCTAGCACTAAAAAACAACACAACAATTTATTTGAAATGCGCTTATTACGGCGAAGTATGTTGCTATCTCGAATTCACTAATCGCAATAGAAATGCCACTCTACTTAAAAAAATTGCAGTTTCCTGCACGCTTGGTATTTGCTATGAAATAAATAAATCCAAAGGACAAACCCTTCGTGTATGCATGTCATGTTACTGCTTTTGTAATGATTTTGTTTATTGACGCATTAAATTAGTGCAATATTTCTTTTTTTTAACTTTTAAATTTGTTTTTCTTTATCCAACATATATTCGTAAATAAAATTTTGAATGCATATAAAATCAAAAGGGGTAGCGAAGCGCACCGGGTTCAGCTAGTTATAACCTAAACCATATGGTTACAGTGGGTATGGTGAAAACGTGCCACATGGAAATAACAGGTTTAGACTCTAGGTCTCTTTAGATCAAATCCTTTACAGGTCATTGGATTCGATCTAGATGTGTCCGTCTGTCTATCTGGCTGGTGAGCACGATAACTTTCGAAGGTAGTATTCGATTTCATCCAAACTTGGTACATCGTAATATTATCAAACTTAGATCGAGTTTGGAGATGGACATTATCTGTCCACTTCTTCAGATACTTACCCACTAAGGTTAAAATCTTTACAGAAAAATAATTTGTCGAATTGAACAAGAAAAGATCATCCAAATTCTCAAAATTATCAAATCCCAATATTTGTATCTGTTCTACGTCTGGTGCGAAAATGGACAATATTGGTCCACTCCATCATGTTATTCACCCACAAAGGTTCAACAGTTTAAATAATCACTTCGCAAGTCAAAATACATGTAAATTAACTAACATTTGCTGATGATATACATCTGATACTTTTAATCTTGTTTTTATGGACCCTCAGACACATGGTTATAGGGGATATATATCATTTGATACGGCCAAATGGAGCACAACCATCAAAATATTGGTTTTAGATCCTGGGTATCTTTGGTCAGAATCCATTTCAGAAGATTTGGAGTCAATTGATCGGTGTCCGTCCCCAAGAGATTACCCGATTTCTGATGTATTTCTATCAAACCTATATCGAGGTCGGAGATAGGTCAAATCGGTTCACTCAAAATTCTTAAAGAAAATAATTTACCTATTTAATATGATTAGATTTAATATGATTAACTGTATGTGGTGTTAACTGTTTGCGGGGATACAAGAACATGTGTAAATATTTAAAAAGTCAGTGACTTATTTATTATTTAATGAGCATCACCCCATAGTGGAAGTACCAGAAAGGGTTAGGCGTAGTATCCCGTTCTTACATTGGATCTAATATTAGTAGAAATATTGAGATGAGCGGCAACCCATTCACTTTTCATTCGCTCCACCATAGTATATTAAGTTCGTCATTCGAAATACACATTTTAGACCCCACAAAGTATCTATCTTCTTGATCAGCATAAAATTAATGATTTAACGATGACTGTCGGTCTGTCTGACCGCCCGTCTGTGGAAATCACATCCCAACGAATTGAAGTGGGTTGACAAAATTTTATTCAAATGTGAGTTTCATCAGGCACGTTAGGTATAGCCTCCCTATATTCGGTATTTTGATGATTTTAGCGAAATTTTTCACCGGAATTATTTCAAATTTCGTATTTGAAGTTTCTAATAGGTACTTCAACCTATGACAGAAAATTCCCTATGCTGGTCCACATCTTCGTATAGCTCCCATATAACAGAGCTTCCCTGTATTTGATATTTTGCTGATTTTATTATTCACAGTAATAGTTTCAAAATTCGTATTTGCACTGTGAAACGAGTACTACAACCGGTGACAGAAAATGTCCTACACAGGTCCACGTCTTCGTAAAGCCACCATATAACGGTACCTCCCTTTATTCAGTATTTTGATAATTTTAGCGACAATACTCACCCGAATTGTTTCAAATTTCGTACTTGAAGGTCTTCATGGGTACTACAACCTATGACAATGACCTTTGAAGTATAGCCCCGGTATAAAGGTCATAATTTAAACGGAAGTTATTTAATTTTTCAATTTCCTTCCAAGTGCTGGCAGGGTATTAAAACGTCGGCCCAACCGAACTTTTGGATACATTTCCAAAAACGAGTGCAACGCAAACTTTATTTTTGAATCCGATTTAAGTCAGGTGAGAAAATATACGAAGTAGGTTCCCTCCTTCTTGTACCTTTCTTATACAGGGTTAATTTTTGAATAATTATGAATTTTATTAACTGTCACCACAGCACTCATCGGACAACTACTTCTGATATCTCAAGGAATTTGCTGAAACTTCGTATATCGCAATAGTTTTATCAGACTTTCCAAGGATCTAAATTTATTATATCTTTAAATGAATTTTGAAATGTGCAACACCAAGGTTTGAAACTGGCTTTTAAGTCGGTTACGAACTCAGGGTCTTGTCAAAAAAGCTCAATTCGAGCAAACCCTAGCTCTATACTCGATTTGTGTGCGATAGTCTTAATATCGAGTTACGAAATGTTATAAAGTTGTAATTTACAGGTTCAATACTGTCGATACTTGCTAAGGTTTCAGTCTATTGGTCTAATACAAATAAAATGCCTTACATTTATTCAATCACGAATGTAAACATTTTCACAAACAACTTACCAATTGTTGAATGGCTTGTTCAACTAATTCTCTGAAAGAATAACCGGGATGTTTCTTCCACAAATGATGAACCAATTTGGCTATAACTTCTGTATCAGTGTCTGATTCGAATTCATAACCACGGGTTTCCAAATAAGTCTTTACATCTTTGTAGTTGGTGATAATGCCGTTGTGTACAACAACAAAACTGTTGTCAAAGTCCGAACGTTGGGGATGGGAATTCCTTTCGCAAGGTACACCGTGGGTGGCCCAACGTGTATGTGAAATGCCAACATGTGTAGTTATCGGCTCCTCAAACTCTTTACCGGTGCAACCTTAAAAGTTAATAGGAAAATAGATATGTACAATTCGTCACATATAGTAGTGTGGTGATTATTCATACTTTTTGCAATGGCATCTTCCAAAACCTTTACTTTGCCAACACTCTTGATCATAACAATGTCCTTGGTGTTGGGGCCATCGATGGCAACGCCCGTGGAATCATAGCCACGGTATTCCAAACGTTTCAGGCCATTAACCAATAATTCCAAAACCTCAGCACGAGATTTTGGTGTCATGTAGTTCAAATAAGCGAAAATTCCTGGAAAAGAAAGAAATGTAACGTTAAAAAAATTTGAATAGAAAATGCAGAGCTATAATACAGTATTTGTTAAGGGAAATTCAGTTATCAACTGCAGTATCGTCGTTTTAAAGAATAACTAATAACTTGTTTTTCCCGACTTATTATATATACTCTTTACGGAATGTACGCAATTTAAAGCTCTATCCTATTTCTCATCAACTGTATGCCGTTCAAATTTTGAGTTAATAAATGAGAGGAAGTTTTTGAAGTTGTTACTTGACACAACCTTTAAACTTTTCCACAAAAAAGTGCCAAATAATAATTGAAACTAATTCTTTTGTATTTCACCCCCCGCTTATACCATGCCATGGAAGGGTCGTGTTCGGTGAGATATGAAAACGGCTTTCCTTGGATGCAGCTGAATTGGTCTTTGTAGCTGTTTGGTCCCTCCGTGTATTGTAATATTTTTTCTTTTCCTTCCGTTCTATTTTGCTTTTGTACGATGGTGCAAACGTGATTGAAAAGGATTTATTTTTCTCAAAACGTTTTTCGCTCGCAACCGATTGAAATTTCCGCATGAATAACAGCCAAACACAATGGCAAATCCTAAAAAGGGACTCACAAGGAATAGAGTGGTCAGATTTGATTAATATCATGGCTATTTTTGAAAATGTTTTCCCATGGAATGTTTTCCCAAAAAAAAAGATGTTAGACAAAAGCGCTGATGAACAATGCCACCAACTAACTAACTATACGATGGATGACCTTCAACAATCACACCGCGTTAAGTGGACGATAACCATTTGACATTGTGAAAAAGTGTAACAAGCCAGACCCTAAACCTTCTTCAACATGATGAATGTTTTGGACAAAACTTTGATATGGGAAGGAAATGTAAATCCTTTATTGTAAGAGGAACTAACCAATTAACTGTTAACAACAAATTCCGAGGAAATTTAATCAAAAGTAGTGATTTGAAAAAAAAAGGAAATATTGAAAATTGCGGAATGCAATACAGATGAAATATGTAATTTAACCCGACTGTGGATAGAAGAATTCAAGAATTAGTGAGACTCTCGAATTTTAATTTTTTTTATTGATTTTAAGATTATTTAAAAATAGTATTAATAACCACTTACACTGTGGAATATTCTATAATCAACCTGACCTGATTAAATTTGAAAAATGCAAATCTCAAGGTAGAATCTTAAAATTTAAAAGTTATTAATAACAACACGTTATTTTGTTTAGTTGACACTATTCTCACATTTTTTCTCTGAATATAACTAAGTTTTCCAAAAAAAAAAACATAAATTTATTCTTCCCAAAACCAACAAAATTGACCTATGATTTCAGCATAGTTTAAATATTTTCAAAATTATTTTGATTCTTATTCAAAACAATACATACACGTACAATATCTGTACATATATTTTGACTTTACCAGTCATGCATGAGGAAAACAATTGTATTCAGGTGATTGCTATGGCCTATCTTGTAAACTATTTTATCATGAGTGTATGATTGCATAGAATATTTATCAATGGTAATGTACTAGGGTTACACTGGAGGCGAATCCTTTATGTTTCATAAATTAAAAAAATGGAATTTGCAGAAACATTCAAAGCACGAAGTATCCATCGATACCGTTTTGAAGGAATTATTTCAAAGTGTAAACCCTCTTTGAGAAACCTTCGCAGGTGGCCTATTCATTCACTGAGAAACTACAATGAAAACTGAAGCTAAAATTTCCCAAATTCCAAATGTTACGAGGGAAACCTGCTAAATTCGTATATCAGTTATATAGGTGTGCGAAAAGGGACATAATTGGTCAACTCCCGCATAAAAGCCAACATATTAAACAATCATAACACATATAAAGTGCGAAATGTACTGCCCAATTTCAGTAAAATTTAACGTTCCATTTTTTTGATTAAAATTTATAAAAATCGCAAACCACATAAAAGTGGAACGTTCGATGGATAATATCCATCCATTACCTCCCCCACAAAAGATTGAAATCATGCATTACAATATTTTTGGCAACTTGTCTCTATTGTATTTTTATACAACCCACTATGGTATGGAGGCTATATTAAGCTTATCATACCGTTTATAACATCTGGAAATATACATTGTAGACCCCACAAAGTACATATATATTTTTGATCGGCATAATATTTAATGTCGACTGTCCGTCTGTGAAAATCACTATAGCTTCCCTACGAAATGATGTAGGTTTATAAAACTTTACTCAGCCGGGCCGAACTTACTGCCTTTTTACTTATTATCACTTGTATTCCTTTCACATTTTCTATAGCTACCTCAAGCTATACTTAAAATCTGTAAATTTTCCTTCTATTAAAGTCTAAGAGAACATTTTTTTGGACGCAAAATAAATTCAAAATTCAACCAATCTAATTATCTTAGGAAGAGATATGTGCGTATAAAATCAGAGCATCTGATATGACTCAATAAAATCCAGACTATCTTCAAATAATGTATTTCAGCCCCTGTATCGCACAAATGTCTACCACATTTACTCCCAATCTGGTGCCGCAGCGAGTAAATTGCACTCCAAAGCAGACTTCATTTTACGTCTTGGCGGAATACGGTCAGCCAAAAATAAGCGCCAGACAACAACAGCTTTAGATAACAATCGAACTATCACGAAAAATGAAATAGTTTTACACAAAAACAACTACAATAACAATTGAAATTGTAGCGACATCAAAAGCGCCAGCAACGAACCCATGCATACACGTACACACATACACATGCATATACGTAAGGCTAAAAGTCATGTTGGCAATTTGAGTTAAATATTTATGTGTGCAAGCATAGAATTGGTGCCATTTGATTCTGGACAATCAGATGTAAATTGTAATTTGCAAATTTTCAACAACCGGCTTTGGCTACATTGCCACATGCAAACATTAGCACATACACACGGACGTACATACATACATATGCATATTTATAAACACAGATTTTTGTATATTATTACATTTGTGTGTATCGTTGGCTCCGTACCTCTCGATTTGTTCCAATAACAAGATGGGCAACTTACAGTTCGGGTTTTTCAACAGCTAACTAAACATCGACCGAATGAAATGAGTGGAGTGGGCAAAAATATCAATACTAATCTGCATGAGAAGCGAAAGGGGAAAATCTGCCAAAATCTCGAAACTCGCAACCATAGCATGGAGACAGAGAGAAAGAGAGAGGGAGAGAGAAAGAGAGCTGGATTGTGGTGGTGGGGTCGTTTGAAACCAGTTAATGTAAATATCAGCGTGCAGCAATATTTGAATTGCGAAAAAACGCCAGCAATAGGGTAAGGCACACTTCGAGTGTAAATAGCTATGAATGTGCGGACAAATATTCTTCCGAAGGCATACAGACATATATTTGTATATGGGAATCCATAGTTATGGCTTTAGGTATGAATATGCTTTGGTAAACAGGGCACATGCCGGTAACACCCACAAACGTACCTCGTACTCGAGAAATACACGGGGTTTCTATATGTGTGACAGAGTTGCCAATTTGTTTCATCAAAAGCCATTTAGCGGTAAACATATTCGGTGCAGCAGTTTTGAAATAAATTGAACTAGGAACAAATTACTGGGTGCAAAGAAGCACAATCACGGGATTTTTGACGAAGTAAACGAAGAATCAAGATTAAGATTTGTGTCGACTTGATGCAAAGTTAGGAATAAATCTTTGTATATATTTTATTATTACTATGGGGAAGTAAAATCGGTAAATATTTTTGACCTTACCTACGATAGTACTAGGAGGTACAGAAATAATCAAATCGGATACTAAGCGGATACCCCCTGAAAATTTCGAACTTTTGTGGGGATGTCTTAAAAAGAGTGGACCCATATCTATCTTCTATCTTCATGATGAAAATAATATTGGTTAGAATATTGAGTAATCTGTAGCTTGAGGAAAAGGCCTGCTTTCCTTCACATAATATAAAATATTTATCCTCCCCGAACCAAAAGAAAAGAGCCCAAATGTTAAATTTACGCACGCGTCATATAAATATTACGATATGTTTGAATTAATCGGATACTATATTTTTTTATAGAAGCTATATGTGTTTATATGTTGAAAATTTTGGATATCGTACGACGCTGTAAAACATACTAACATGACTAAACAAACTGACATGACTAGATTCGATTCGTTATTTCGTCCGCATAAAATAAGTCTTAACCCTCTATATATAGACTTGATAGTACAACAAGTAAATAAACATACCATCCACTATTCGGTAATGAAACCATTTTTATGCAAAAGTATCTGGATTTAATCTTGTTCCAGTTTTAACTAAGAACTCCAGTAAGATCGGTAGGAGAAAACAGAAGGAATTATCATAAAAACAATATAAGGCTTACGGCCATTATATGAGGGCCATACTAAAGCAGCCATACTTAAACACCAAATTGGACACAATTTCGTTAGTAAATTTGACTAGGATTATCAAACTACCGAATATCGGTCTATATATTAGATAAAAATTACCGAAGCTTTGTATAAAGAAGACCATTGATTAATATGGCCAATGCTTTGACACCGGGGCTAGAACCCATTACGAACTACAAATACCAATTTTTAGACAAATCCATGGAAATGTAGCTAAAACCATCAAAATACGGAAGTTCGGGAGTTACCGTTATATGGGGGCTATACGATAACGTGGACCTATATAACCATTGTTCTGTCACCAAAGCTGGAACCCATTACAAATAACAAAATACTATTTTTTAGACAAACCCGTGAAAAATGTGGCAAAAATCATTAAAATGCCGTGGACCGATATATCTCATTTTCAATACCAACCATCCTAGACAAAATACAAACTACTGCGCCAAATTTTAAAGATCTACGTCAAATATTGTGGTCTGTATCGTGATTTCGACAGACGGACGGAGAGACAGACAGACGGACATCGTTAAATCGACTTAGAATTTTATGCTGATCATGAATATATATTCCTTATGTGGTCTATGACGAATATTTAGAGGTGTTGCAAACGGTAGAGGGTATACAAATTATGTGATGTCCGTTGGAATCAATATTTTAGAATTTCAAAAAAGTGGGAAGTTGTATTTGCCTGGCGCATGTCTATTTGTAAAAATCTCAATTTTACAAAAGCTATACGATTTTTTCAACTTTTTGCGAGTATTTCCAGCTTTACACATTTAACCACATCTCGATGTCTGCATTTAAACAGGAATGACAGCATTTCTTTAAAAAAAACTTATTTAATTTGAGTAACTCGAAAAAATTTGGAAACATTGAGAAAAAGAATTTAGGAGAAATCGTGCACAAATCAGCAGAACTTTGATTTTTCTTTTTGAGACTCGAATATGGCATGATGTCGAAAATAGGAAAATTTTTCGGAATGCAGTACAAAATAACCAGTTTTTTGAATGTTGACTACAGAAAACGTGTACAAACGTCTAGATAAGTTATGTTAAAAGATGACATTTTACGTCGATGACATGAAGTCGTCTTGTGTAGACCACAACACCTAACTTTTATCAAGATATTTGGGAGTATTAAAGAATATCGTCCTTTGACAACATGGACTATATTGGACTTGAATTCCTGCTCTCAAGTGAGCAGGGAGTTATTAAAACATAATTAATGGTGACAGTTAGATAAAGACCCTTTAGCGAATAACCATTACATATTTCGCATTTTCCCTCTAAATATGAATCATGGTATCAATTGCGAAAAGGTCAGACCAATTTCAGTCAGATGGCAACACTGTTACTGCATCTATAAGTTTGCAAATTTATATCTTGGTTCTATTGCGACTTTTGTTTTATGCTTTTTGCTACTCCACGTCGTGAAACACAGTCTCAATCAGGTTTCTGTTTCTCATTGTGGATTTCCTCATGAAATGTAATTCAGGTTTTGACTTCTTGCAAAACTTCTGTCATATAATTTTATTTTAATTCCATTCGTTGTTGTTGTTGTATCTTTTTTGTTTGTACCTAAAACTCGAACAGCTAATTTGGTTGCTATCTCACTCTGTGTCTGCCTGGTCTAGGTTGGTTAACTGGCTGACTGACTGACTGGCTGGCTGAATGTTACTGTGCTATCGTTATTATTAGATTTTTATTTCGTTATTTCTATCGCACTGACGGCGAGGGAGGTCGAAGTGGGTGTATTTGTTTTTGGTATGGAATTGAAATTGGTAACACACCCGCTTTTGCTAAATGTGAACGTGTCTGAGATAAATTTATCCAACACCAAATTAAAGCCGCACAACAAAGTTATAACAACAGACCCTAACTACCGTCACAGCTATGGCCCTAGTAAATAAAATGAACTGAAAAAACGAAACAAAACAAAAAAATCCATCGTCAACAACAACACGCAGCAAATAGACCCAGTACCACTAAAATCCAATTGATTTTTTTTCGGGCGAGTGAATGGTAATGGTGTGCGGGATAATATTGCACATTTATTGCATAATAATTATTTGTTTCTCTTCGCTCGGTACATTCACAATTTAAAGTTTGACTCAATCAGTTCGTGTGGATATTTTCGTAATAAAAATTGAACTAAAAAACATTTTCAATTTAGCCAATCATCCAACGACATAGGTACATGTATGTATGTCTGCATGTACACTGCCGTTACAATAAAAGTAAAATCATGTTTAATGGTACGTTTCGATAAATGTAAAATGTCGAGGTTAAGCTAGTTAACCTAATTGGGTACAAGTCGAAATTGCCACATTTATGTTTGTTATTAATCCAAAGAAACTGCTCTGAAAAAAGGGAAACAAAAGGCATAACAAAGAGATTAATTCTACAAATAAAGCATCCCTGTGTCCCTGTCAGAATTACTTTCCGAATAGAATCTCTAATTAACGTTTGTACAAATCATATGTCCGAATGATCAATGAAAACAAATATTTAACTTAATTTAATTTTTAATCCTAAAAACGTTTCATTTACAAATTCGAAACGAAAATCTACCATTTCCCGATGGTGGTCTTTAATAATGAATTTGCTGGATGGAACTTGCTGCTGAATGTAAACTAATCATAAGCATGTATGGAATAAAACGGCACGTTTCCATGTCCATGCCATGAACATGGTCGAGAGGAACTCGAAAGTGACTATGACAGTTCGTAAATAACCGGAGGCGTATAACATTTTGTCATTTCATTATTTTTCCATTAATTAAAATTTGTTATGGGTTTCACATTTAAACACGACATTTCGCTCTTCTTCTCCTCCTTCGGTTGACTGTCATTTCATTAAAATGAAATAAAAACTTTAGGTATTCTCTTGTTGCTCGCACTTACCGCACATTGTGTTGTATTCAGTATTCAATTAATTCCTCCGAAATGAATGTTAAAAAATCTGCAAATAAAGAGAATTAAAAGGAATATTAAAACAAAGGATTTCCCAATCATGGAGTTAAATCGAATTAAATGTAAGGAAACAAACAAAAAAAAACTATTTTGTTTAAATAATTGTGTTTTGTGGATAATTGTCATACACGGAAGTGGTGGCGGATTGCACTTGAAATTAAAACCTAGAAATGTTTTTATATTATGTTTACAGCATTGGGAGATTTCTCGACTTGCAGTCTAAAGTGCAGGGAGTTAGTCTTTTAAAATATATTGAAATTAATATTCTTTTTCCCGCCCATTTCATCGTCCGATTGCTACAAATTTAAATCATTATTGTTAATTAACAAGTAAAAAAGCAGCTAAGTTCGGTCGGGCCGAACTTTTAATACCCTCCACCATTTCGAAAGAAATTGAAAAATTTCAAAAAAAAAAAAAAATCCGAGAACTACCACTTAAATGAAAACCGTTATATGTGGACTATACAAAGACGTGGACCTGCATATAAAAATTTTTATCATAGACTACAGTCTATCAGGAACTTCAAATACGAAATTTGTTACAATGACGGTGAATAATGTCGCAAAAATCATGAAAATACGGAGTATAGGGAGATACCATCATATGGAGGCTATACGAAGATGTGGATCTGCATACGAATTTTTTGCCATAAGTTGTAGTACCCATTAAGATCTTTCAATACGAAATTCGAAACGATTCCGGTGAATAATGTTGCTGAAATCGTCAAAATACCGACTATCGGAAGGTACCGTTATATGGGGCCTATACGAAGACGTGGACTGCATATTTTTGTCATAGGCTGTGGTACCCATTATGAACTTCAAATACGAAATTCGAAATAATTCTGGTAAATAATGTCGCTAAAATAATGAAAATACCGAATATCGGGAGGTACGTTATATGAGGGCTATACGAAAACGTGGACCGACATGGTCCATTTAAGAACTTAACCTGCCTACTGGTAAACTATTCATGTATGCAATTCGTTCGAAAGATGGCGTGATTACAACAGACAGACGGACAGAGAGACAGGCGGACATCACTAGATCGCCTTAGAATTTTACGCTGATCCAAAATATATATACTTTGTAGGGTCTATTATGAATAATTCGAGGAGTTACAAACGGAATGACAAAGTTATTCCTCCATAGAATGGCGAATGGTATAAAAAAGAGAATAAATAATAATAAACGGATTTGATTCATCCACTATATGAAATCCAAGAATATGTACGCAACAGCTACATAAAAAGCTGAACTCAATCTCTCCCATTAGAATAACAATCGCCGTTATTCTCATTGTCTGTGATAGGTTTATCTACGAGCATTATTAATATTCCCTGCATGAAGAAGGGGTTTCCCAAACCGTGTACTATGTTTTTTTTTAGAATTGTACAAAATTACGGTGAAATGCTCTTATCATTTTGATTATCAATTTTGTTAATTCGACAATTCGCTAAGAGGGTCGTATATAGATAAGGGTATCCGTGAAAACAATTAATATTAATTTTATGGTTTTCAATTAACTCAATTTTAATAAGAACTGCACCCATAATATTTAATTAATTAATCTGATTTTTGTAATTTTTAAATGTAAATGAAAAAATAGGCAAGCTTGCGCGTTTCCTTCCGAATTTGTAATTCCGTACATTTTTATCGTTCTGAAAAAAAAGTAGTCGGGAAATGTGTGTTGAAAAATATGATACATTTGCGTGAAAAAAAACATTTAAAGTGTCATATAAATTGGTTTTCTAATAAAGTTAAGAACAAAAAAAAAAAAAAGAATTCTATAAATCAGACCTCCGAAGAAACATCAAAACCTGTTTGCAAAGTATTCCTTTTTTTACAAAATAATTTTTCACCTCTCATTTACCAAAAACGTCCACTCTTCGAGAAATCCTGCTCGCGAGCAAATTTCGTTCCCGAGTGAAAATGAGCAAAGCTGTGCTCTATTATATATCTGAATCATTAGGGTTTGCTAGGAGAAATAGATTAGACAGTTATACCATAGACAAATTAAGGTATAGACTAAAAAGTTTTAAAATTTTCCCCTTCCGGCAGATGTCACTATTGTTGATCTTGGGCCAGTCAAGTCACTCAGGGCTAGTGAAGTCACTCGACTTCGAAAACAATTTATTCATTTTTCTGCTATTTAAGTTCTATACCATAGACAAATTAAGGTATAGACTAAAAAGTTGTCTCATCTGTTATCTTCGAAAAAAGTGCTTCAATAGATGTCGTTCATGCTGTGAGAGAGCAAAAGTCTATTCACTCAATTCTCTCAAAATACAAAATATAGAATATTTTTATGATTTATTATTATTTATCAATTGAAAATGAAACAGTGCCTATGTTTACATTTACATTGCCCAACTATATCGTAAAATATAAAAATATAAAGCTTAAATAGCAGAAAAATGAATAAATTTTTTTCGAAGTCGAGTGACTTCACTAGCCTTGAGTGACTTCACTGGCCCAAGATAAACCGTAGCGACATCTGCCGGAAGGGGTAAATTTTAAAACTTTTTAGTCTATACCTTAATTTGTCTATGGTTATACTTTTAAATGATAAAAAAATGATGTTTACAATCAAAAGCTCTGCATAGAATTTTATGCTGCTCAAGAATATATACATTTTATGGGGTCTAAAACTTATATTTGTTATAAGTGAAATGACTGTGGTGGAGGGTATGAAATTAGAACTATATGAAAACCTAGGATCATGTATATAATTTTATACCGGAGGGGATGGTAATCTTTTGCGTACTTCAAATACCAAAAAAAATCATCACAAGGTTCAGTTAAATGGGGTAATACGACAGTTATATACCAAGAACTTCCTTCCGAGAACTTTGAAAATATACTTTAAAAAAGGCACTACCTTTAAAAGCCAATACCTAAAATTTTTTAAATGATAAACTATGTACAACTTAAGAATTCGATAAAAATTCGATCATTTTTCAATATGGGTAATTTTGGAATATTAATAAGTAGAATTCAATCTCGGAAAACGTCTAGGATTTTTTTGGTATGTACAAGTTCCTACTTTCCCCACAATTATCGTAATCAAGAGTAAACCCTTAACCGTTTCTATAGATGACATGAAGTTTTTGATTAAAAATAACGTATAAAACTTGTCCATAGAATTTGGACACCACTTTTAATGCAAAAACGATTATTTTAAATATTGAATTCCAATCGATATCCAGCAATGCAGAGCCGATTGTATGGGTTTCGCCTATTTGTTCTTTCCCACACCACCAGAACTTTCTTCAACCTAAACCGACGTTGTTAATTCTTTGGCTTTCTCATTCAATGGCCACTTCAATGAGAATGATTACGCATATTGATTGTCTGGCTGACTTGAAAAACGTCACGTAAAGGTCTTAGTCCGTAGAATATTATAACGGTATTTTGTAAATAAACATGTTATGAATGTTTAATGTCAATGGGGTTTCTTTGGCCCGCCGATATATTCTTAAGAAATATGCCGCTACAATCATTCGCTTACACCCCGACATACATAGACAAGTATGTAATCTATTGTTGTGTTTTCGGTCTACGTTTTGATTTGATTTTAGGTCAAGGTCAGTCACAGGACTTTTTCGGTTTGAAATCTGCAAAATGTTGACAAATAAAAGTGACATATGGTTTCGTCAATCGGCCTCAAAAAAGTCGACAAGAACTGTCAATTAGATATGAAGTGAATTTGTCTCGCAAGTTAATGATTTGGACAGGATGTAGTGCTTTTAAGATTTCCCAAATAAGAAGACAAACAATTCCTTATCATTTGTATTTGAATCAGGTAAAGGTTTTGATTGATTATTGTAATGGAAACAATATATATGCATGTATATTTGTATGTGTTTGGTTGTGTGTGTTAGATTTTTAGGCCGAATTGATAAATAAAGAAGCCATACAGAGAGGTTTGATTGATTTCATTGTATAGATGGAATCGTTTTGAAAGGAGCCAGGTGATTGTGAGCTTGGACATTTGATTATTAGATTTCATGTGAAATTCTCAGTAGGTAAATTGAATGCACAGCTAAATGAATGTGTAGACAACGAATTTGTCAAAAATGTTATGGTCAACTGACTTAAACCGGTAAATTCAAAATGATTCGTAGAAAATCCTTGGCCAGATATCTATCTGAAAAAAGAAACGTCGTAAGTCCTACATTTACGTGCGTTTGTTTTCGAAAACTGGAAAAATTAAGAAAACGGTGTTATTTCGGCTTTTGAAGTTTTTTTTTTAGCAAAAATGCAAGATGTTTGAAAGATGTATCCTTCTGTTTTTTTGCTAATTCTCTTTTTTATCATAAAATCGCAGTTTATAAAAAAAATCCAATCTGTCTGCTTTTTTGTTCAAAACATACCACATTTGTTGAGCTTTGACCAAATGCGGATGAAATATAACAATAACCATTTGAAATAATACATATTTTATTGAATATGAAATTACTCTGACATATGGAAATTAAATAAAAGGACATGAAGGAAAAAACTGTAACGTTTTTGTTGCCCAGTCATATTTTATTGTCATTGAACACTGCTTAATTTAATTTGAAATAAATTCCAATGATTTATATTGAACATTAACATGATTACTTTTACATAATGTCAAACTTCATTGTTAAATTACTAAGCATTATAAAAAATAAAACAAAAAAAAAACAAGTATACACATGTTTCTGTTTAAATGAAATTCAACATTTTATAGATAATTTATTAAATGGATACTTTAAAGTACAAACATATGTTTGTGTGTGTGTGTGTGCAACTGAGTCGGCAGTGAAAGATGTAATTAGTCATTTACCACGCAATTTGCCAATAATCTGCCCCAATTTAGTATTGTAATTATAACAAGGCAATATCCAAAATTATTAATTAATTAATTCAGTTTAAAATCTATTGTGTTTTAACAATTTGCCAAAAGAGCGTTATATTTATATCCGTAATATAAAATCTGTAAAAAAAATAAATTAAATTT